TGTTAAGGATCTCCTTGACTTAGTGGCTGCCTTTTCAAGGACTGGGGATTAAGAAATGTTTATTACATAAAGGGCAGAGCTTGAAGTCTTGCAACTTTAAATATCTTATCTCACCCAAAATGTGTTGGAAAGCTGCTGTGTTCAGGAGTGCCAAACCTCTTATCCAATTTTATATTAATTTGACAGTTGAGATTGGATGAAAACCCAACAGGTTTTATTGCTTTTTAAAATCATTTGTTACATTAGGGCTGACTCACACTGTCTGAAGTATTTAGAATTTATAGTCATATTAACTGCTCTCTCTCTCTCTCTGACCATAATTGTTCTTCCCCTCTAGTCTACATCTTTAATTGATTTTATTGGCATCTACGTTCCTTATCCTATTTGACTTTTATAACAATAGATTAGTATCATTCTGTAGATCAGGAAAACAAGCTTTGATATAATAATAACTATGCTGTATGCTCAGTATTTATTATAAAAGAGTCTTCAGAAAGTCATGGAATGTGTATTATGAAAAAACCATGTATGAATTTCAAGTTTTTTTGCCCCAAAATAAACTTGTACTTTATTTCCACTTTTCCACAAACTTTCTGAAGTCCTGTCATATATGCCACTCACTGCAATACTGCTTTATGTATTTCATTGCTTTTAATCCTACCAGGAACCCTGAGAAGTGGTTATTACCAGCCCATTTTACATTTCTTGAGACACTGATATAGGAAAAGGATAAATAGGGCCAGTTGGTGGCTTGGTGGCTAAGGTTGCTAGATCCCACACGGCTGACTGTGCAGTTCAAGTCCCAGACCCGGAGGCTTCAAAAACACACCAGGTGCATGTGATGTCAGCCTAAATTCAGAGGAGGTGGAGGAGAAGGGGTTGTGGTGTGACCATCCCCCGTAGGGAGTGCTGTCTCGCTTTCCCTCTCTCTCTTTCTCTCTCTCTGTTCCTCTCTATTGAACACATGTACCTTTTGGCAAATTGTGAAAAAGAAGAGGAGGAGGAGGACAAAGAGGATGAAGAGGAAGAAGAGGGAGAAGAAAGATTAAATAACTTGCCTAGGGTTAAGGATTAAGTGGCAAAGTGGAGTTGGTCTGGCCGCCTTGACTTCCTCTG